ATGTCCCACTAAACTAACCTGCTGCTCCTGTCCCACTGTGACCATACTGTGCTATTACATTTAGTTATCCTTTTTTCTTAGCACCAACCAGCAATGTAGGCACTTCATGTGTAAGGTCCATTTCCCCAAGGAGATTGCAGTCTAGAGAGACAGTTTACCAGTAAAGGCTGGGGCATGATGGGACCAGGCTGGGAAGTTTAGCTGCTCCAGTGTATTTGTATATTTGTTTTTTCAGTTGTCTAGCTTGTTGAAATGTTAGGAAGGCCATGATTTTCCAGTCCTCCTTGAAGAGGTATGTTTGAGCAGGGGCTAGTAAGAGATGGGTGGAGACATCCAGCCATTTCCAGAGAGCTGGAAATACGCTTTGCCTATGTTAAATCAAAGCTGATGGTAAGGCTTTTGAGAGGTGTCAGGGGATGGCCTGAAACATGGGATTGATGGAAGGAAAAAGGGAGGGAGGAAGATTTGTCAGGAGCAAAGAGGTAGCTCTGTGAGTTATTGTTTAAAAGTGGTAATTGAATCTGTGAGAGAAGAGGAGATGAACCTGTGAAAGGGCCAAGGCTATAGGTCTATAGACACTCAAACACATTAGTTTAACTAGAGTTGTTGAGCATGCTACCGGGGTGGCAGGTTAAATGAATGACCTACAATATACAGTATGATCGAATGGCCCCTTCTGATCTTGGATACCCTAGAACTTATTTTGAAGGGAGTGATCTGAGAGGATGGAGGCATGTAAGCCAAGGGAAGGTGAGACTGAAAAGAACAAGAGATGATTGGCAAATATTAGAGTAGCCAAGTAGCCAAGAGTTGAGTAAGAGAACATGGGAACAATGGCCTGGGATTTGGCCAGGAAGAGATCAAAGACTATGGAAAGCAGCCTCAGTGGAGAAGGGAAGTGAAAGTCTGACTGGACATTTGTGTTGTGTTGGTGAAGGAGCTGAGTTGCTGTGATGTGTTAGCCCAGCATAAGTTCAGGCTGCCTGTAACAAAAGTCTAGGAGTTAGGACCATGCACAGCAACACAGCTATTTCTTCTGACTTATCAGACTGGATGAGTCCTAATTAGCTTCCATTCAGGGGTGTCTTGAGTCCCTCTGTGGGGGAGGAACAGGGAGAGAGTGAGTGTCTGTGGTAGAGGCAAGGCAAGGCTCAGGAGAAAGCATAGACTGAAGCTGGTTTCCTACTCCTAAATTTCTAGTAGGGCAAACCCCAGGCAGGGTAAGAGCTTGGACACTAACCCAGTGGGTTGTGGTGTAGTCCTAGGTGAGCCTTTGACCACACCACAGAAATGCTGGGATAAATTAGGACAGGTAGGGAGAGGGTCTTTTCTGTAGCCAAGGTGTCTGTTACACCATAAGACACCTATAACTGTTTGCCAGCCCGTATTCTCTTTTTACTCCATGACTAGCCCAGAGGCCACTTCTGCAAGCCGCCTGGAAGCTGAAGCTCCAGCAGAGCAGTACTTCAATCCAAAAAGCTTCTCCAGGTGGAGGAGCCCTTCCCCCACTAACCGCAGCCTGCATTCCCTGAGTGTTATGCGGGGGGGGTGGCATGTCTACTTCAGTCCAGTCCCACACTAAAGCTGCACCTCAAGCACAGCATCTATTTCCATACCACTCTGCTACTGGGCTAGGGTCCTAGAGCAGGAAGCTTAGCAAGGTGGATGTGATAGCTATCATTTTCATGACTCCTTTGTGTGATCAGAGACTTGGATTAGCTCAGTGACGGTGAACACCCCTAAGAGAACAAGTGCTGTGAGTTTCCTGTAGATGATGAGTGCTGCCCCTATGCTGTACCAGCAGCTGGAAGGACCAGTTCCTCCTTTCTCCCAAACAAGCTTTCAAGAGTTTTTGGCTGGACAAATCAGCTCCTTTCAAATCCCCTCCCTTCCTCATCCCACCTTCCCTTATTCAAAGTCCAAGAATAGTTTCATAGTTTCTAGGGTCGGAAGGGACCTGGGCAGATCATCTAGTCC